GGGGCTCGATCCCAGGACCCTGAGATCATGACCTGAGCCGAAGGCAGACGCTTAACGACTGAGCCACCCAGGCGCCCCCAAGTCACTCTGCTTCTACTGAAGTTTCAGAATGATCTCTTTCCTCTGCCGAGACCATTTCTCTGTTTGCCATCCTTAAGGATGGGTTCAAATGTCCCCTCCTCATGAATGCCTTCCTCAGCCACCTTGGCCCGTACCCTCGATCATTTGCTCTCACATCATCCAGCTTTCTCTCCACATAGTCAGTCCTCTCACAGTCCTGGATGTTGTTTTTGTTTGCTTATTGTCTTCTCTCCCCACTAGAATGTTAGTTCCACGAGGGAAGGGGCCTTGCTTCTCTTATTCATAACCGAACTCCCAGAGCCAGGCACAGTGCCTGGCACATGCTGGTTGGTAGGCACTCAATAACCAATAGCTGAATGAATGATTAAGCTTCAGCCAGGGTGGATTAAAAACTTAACAGGGTCTAAGCACTAAAGATTATGGCGCTCCTCCCCCATATTTAACTCTGACTGAAAACAAGACTGAACCGCACACTTACATGTACTGAAATGAAAATAGCTTCCTTCTAGATTGTCTAATTGTAAGCCATGGAGCCCTTGCTTTGCTGGTGTCCTAAGTTTATGAGCTCTTTATCTGCCTTTGAGGAATCTAGCACTCATTCATCCCTTTAAACATGCCAGAAGCAATTTTAGGTTCAGCTTGTCTGTGCCTGTAAAAAACCATGCTAGGATTTTGATAGGTATTGTGTTAAATCTATAGATCAATAGGGGAAGGGAGGAGAAAAACAGAATGGGAAGAAATCAGAGAGGGAGACAAACCGTGAGACTCTTAACTATGGGAAAGAAATTGAGGGTTGCTGTAGGGGAGGTGGGTGGGGGGATGCGGTAACTGGGTGATGGGCATTAAGGAGGGTACATGATGTGATGAGCACTGGGTGTTATATGAATCTGATGAATTACTGAACTCTACATCTGAAACTAATGATGTTCTATATATTGGCTAGTTGAATTTAAATAAAAAAAATCAAGGGGCGCCTGGGTGGCTCAGTTGGTTGGGCGTCTGCCTTTGGCTCAGGCCGTGATCCCAGGGTCCTGGGATCAAGTCCCTCATCGGGCTCCCTGCTCAGCGGGGAGTCTGCTCCCTCTCCCTCTGCTTGATGCTCTGCCTGCTTGTGTGTTCTCTCTCCCTGTCAAATAAATAAATACAATCTTTAAAAAAAATCTATAGATCAATTTGGGAAGAACTGACAATATTTATTATACTGGTTCTTCCAATCCATGAATGTAGTGGGTTGCTCCAATTAATTAGGCCTTCTTTAATTTCACCAGCATTTTATATTTTTCAGCATACAGATCCCATACATGGTTTGTTAGATTTATACCTAAAGATTTCATATTCTTTGGAGCAATTATAAGTGGCATTTAGTTTTTAATTTGTTTCCACAAGTTTGTTGTTAGCATATATAGAAGCTTTTAGTAGAACAAAGAGAAATGTGCTCTTTAATGAGGTAAACTTGTTCAGCATCAACCTGTTGGACTAATAACAAGCTATTTATCCTAACATTCAAGTACCTCATAATGTGCCTCTAAATTTCTTAATATTAGCCCAGTTCTTAATTGCTACACACCAATCTCTACTGCTATTGAAGGGTCTTCTTGTCCCTCACCTGAATACACCTTATTCATTCTACCTCCATGTCTTTGTTCATACCATTTCCCCTCAGGAATAGTCCTCCCACTGAGCCCTTTTAACCCAAACTAAATCTCAATTCTCCTTCAAGGATGAGGTCAAAGCTCTTCGGAAGATGCCTTCCTTGACAGCCCCAGCCTACATTGCTCCTTTTTTCTGCTGGACTCTCTTAACCAATATTGTGTGCCCCTCAATCACTAATTTAGTTTTTAATTAGTTTTAATCTATGTCTTGTTTCCCTTATTGGATGCTATATACTGGGGAGGCTCCCATAATAGCTATCATGGTACCACCTGCATGGAAGGCACATAAAGGAGAGAGAAGTTTCAAGATGTGCAGTAAGTAAAGGGTATTCCATACATTTTTTTTTTTAAAGATTTTATTTATTTATTTGACAGAGAGAGAGACAGCGAGAGAGGGAACACAAGCAGGGGGCGTGGGAGAGGGAGAAGCAGGCTCCCCATGGAGCAGAGAGCCTGATGTGGGGCTCGATCCCAGGACCCTGAGATCATGACCTGAGCCGAAGGCAGACGCTTAACGACTGAGCCACCCAGGCGCCCCTATTCCATACATTCTTGCTGAATCTTTCATCTAGGCAAGATCTGTGCTCTTCACCTGTAGGACAAGGATTCTCTCTTTTCCAACTAAGCAGACTTGAGATGCAGATCATTTTAAACTACCGCTTCCAAAATGTTCTAAAAACAGCAGGTCTATAATCAGTAGATTTTTGGAGGTTTACTTGAACAGCACAGGTAGTCCCATGAAAGCTGCAGTAACATCTCCTGGCCACCAGAGGACGGGGAACAGGGGGAGAGATTGCTTCCTCCCAGCCCAAGTCTCAGAGGTCAAAGGCAGAGGCAGAACGTGGACTCTGCATCTGTGGCCTTCAGGCTTAATTTACTGCCCCAAGTGCTCAGCAGTCTCTCATCTCCAGATGAGCTCCTTTTCCTCCTCTGAAAGATGAGCTGGAGGTTCCCAGAGGCTTACCCCAATACTAACCTTAAGTGATTATCAGTAGGAACCAATGCACTTTAGTTGCAGGACTTAAAGGCAGAAAAGGAGTACAGAGATGTTTTATCTTTCTAACCCACCGCAAACCTCTCAGTTCTTTGGCCAGTTAAAAAAAAAGTCCCCCAGGCAGTGTCCAAATGGACATTCCACAACAAAGATGCCTTTAGGGACCAATGTCCCAAATCCAGGGCATTGCAAATGGAGTATTTTAGGAGCCAGATTATTCCTACACATAAATTCTGGCTCATGGAGCAGTCCACTCGCAGTAGGCTTTTCCGTCGTTAATCACATCTTTGTTATGTGATATCCACGTGAGTACTTCTCAGTAGAAGCAGCTTCATGCTCAAATGGTCAAAGAACACTAGAATAAAGCTCCGATTGTCCTATTCACTGATTCCAAGTCCTGGTTTGTCGCCACCTCAGGTCTCTAGTTTTCCAAAGAGTGTAATGCAATCTCAAAACAGAGCTATTTTGATTAATGCACATAGAAAATGCACGAAATGTGTAAAGTTAAAGCAACAGGGACTTGCACCTCTCAAGAGGCAGTGAACCTCTGGTCTGATTTAAAAATGATTCTGTACTGCCCGTTGTAGAAATTTTAGAAGAGAATTTCATGCTGCTCATACTCATTAAATTTGTGAACGTAAATAAGTAAACAAAGTCAAATAATGAAAGGGACATTCATGTGGGGTCTCTCAACGACAAACACGTGTAGATCGCTGAATGCCTGACAGCACTACGGTGATTTTTCTCGAAGTACCTGTAACGTCCCTTTCACAAGGACGGCAGTGCCCTGCATTAGGGATTCATCAGACTTTTGAAGGAGTGATTGCAATTCTCTCAAATCATTGTTTGCGTTTCTTCACGCTGGTGAGGCAGCTGGAAACAGCGCAACCAGGAGGAAAGAGCTCCGCGTCTAGGTCGGGG